GGCTCCGGCAGCCCCTGCCCCGCAGAGCCCACAGCCCTGGTGCCGGGAGCCCCCCAGGGCGTTTTCACCTGAAACCGTTCACGTTTCTGCCCGTTCTTCACGCTGCTCTCCCGTCTTTCTGGTGTTCCCCTCGCCTGCTTTTATAGCCAAAACACTGTAATCCACCCGAGTGTCAACATCGTTACACAAGTTTTCCTCTGTTGAAACTAATCACCACCAAACAGTTTTCATATTTGAAAGCGCCAAACAAAATCCCTGAGGATTATCAGCCCATTGCACACAGGGAGAGCAGCTCCCCGTCTCCGCAGCCGATGCCAGGATGGGGTCTCAGTTCGATTATTCTCTCAGCAATCTGGCCACGGGCAGGAAATAGGAGAAAAATATCAAAACTGATTAAAAAAATAATTAAAAAGCACATTATTTCTGGCATAACCTAAAATAGAGGTAACACATAAACAGCAGCGTGCCAGATCAGCGGAGCGCCATGCGAAGGCAGACGTGGGGAGGAGTCAGCCCTGGGTCTCGGACATGCCTCCGGCTCAGAGCATGCGAACCCAGACCCAGATTTCGGAACTCTCCGATGCCACCCACCCCCAGCGCCTGCTCCTGCCAGGGAGAAACGTGGCTCCGTCCCACACACCAGGACGGCTGCAGCCATGAATCAGCCCGAGCGGAGGGAACCCATCTGGGCTGTAGTAATTGATCCATCTGGGCCTGGGGGAAGGGAGAAACTTCCCAGCAGCGCTCGGGAAGGTCGGTTGGGAGGGAGCTGCCGGAGAGGAGCTCGTTGAGGAGCAGCAGAAATGTCAAAAAGGCCAAACCCCACTGGGATGGCACCTGCGAGACCATCGCTACCACGGCCTGTGTGGAGCCAGGGTGAAAACCAGGGAAGTGTTTCTTCCCATGCACTTTGTTCAACCATGTGGGAATAATGAAACTCTCCCGACAGAGAGAATTTCATTCACTAATAATGAAATTCCCCAGGACGGCACAGGGGCAGGGCACAGCGCCCCAAAAACATAGCACCCAGCTGTGGCTCCTTGCATCTGAGGGTGCAGCTCTTCCAGGGTCTGCGCCCAGAGTCAGGGCTCTGTGAGCCTCCTCCCACCCCCAGGAGGGATCCGTGTGCCCACCGCGGGGTCCGGGCTCCTGCGAGCTCAAAGCAGCGGCAGCAGCTCCCTGTCTGCGGGCAGGGGAGGGGTCCCAGCCAAGAGCGTTTGGGTTTTCGCTCCTGTCACAGTCCACATTAGGTGATACTTTAATTTCAAACCCCCCCCCCCCCCCAACACCAGGCCGGGCCTCATCTACCCAAAACACGAAAAAAAAAAGACTGCTCACCGAACCGGCTGTTCTCCCCCACCTGGGAGGTCTGCCACAGTCGCCTTTGAGCCTCAAGAGAGGAAAAGCTCTTCTCATCGAGACGAACGCAGAGGTGCGCATCCGAAGTACTGACCATCCACGGGCAAAGGCATTAGCGGGCCAGGAGTTAGAGACCTGCATCTGCAAGCAAGAGCCACAGCCCCGTGCAGTCCCTTACCGCAGCTCGGCAAGGGACACCAGCCACCACTGCCTGCCAGAGGTTACACTGCGCTTGGACTGGTGTTTATCATCCCAGCGTGGGGATTTGTGAGGATCGGGAAACTCATAGACTCCGCCTGCATCAAAGATTAAGCATTAAACCCACAAGCACTGGTATTAAAAACATGGATTAAACCACAGCTGAGTCCTCTCTCTACCTCCAGGTACTCACCTGCTTTAATGCTGTTACAAAACCGTGCTGGATTTGGAGGGAACGGGGAAATATCCACCTTGGGAAGGGAGAAGCACCAGCTGTGCTGACAGGTCCTGCTGCCAGGGCACAGCGTGGCAGGACAAACCACCCTGGCCATGCCACGGCCACCTGCCAGCCACCATCAGCTGGGCCCAGCACCCACCATGGCACTCAGTGGATCCCGCTGACACACGGGATTTCGAAGCTAAGCCCCCAGCGAGGAGGTCTGCCTCCAAGACACTGAAAGGGCAGGAAAGAAACAAGTTGCTTTAACCAGGTTTTCACCTCATACGCTGTTACTGCCAGCTGGAGAGTGACTGGGAACAGCCTAGCACATACCAGTGCCCTGTGCTGGCTGTAAATTAAGATGAAGTTTTGAGAGACAAGCTTGGATAGGTTTGTTTTTTTTTTTTTCTCCTTTTAACTCTTTCAGATTATTCCTCTTGTTTCCAGCAGTGATTCCTGCCTGGGAGGCCTGTCCACAGGTCAAGGGAGGGATGAGCTGCAAGCACAAAGGGAGAACTGCAATAGCCTGCAGCACCAGCAGCCTCTGGCTCCAGAAGCGTTTGACAAGGACATGTCCCTAGCCCCACTGTGGTGTTTTAGGGTGTCTCAAAAGCTCCCGTGGCAGCACTGCTAGAGAGAGAGACCCTCAAGCCATGCTTTACTCAGAAAAAAAGACAAGACAGAGCCAAACACTGTTCTGAAGGAAACATTTACTAGCCCAAGTGATGCCCGAGGCTGGTGTCATTCCCCTTCAGCAGGGGCAGGGGTTCACGCAGACCCTACCCCACCGCTACAGTGTAACCCAGTTGTGCCACAGGTTTTCTACCCAGAGGAGTTCCACGTCAACAACTCCACAGGTAACCAACAGCCATGGCCCCTGCGAATCAAGGCCGCGGCTCCTCTTTGCCTGCGTGGTAGTCAGGCGGCGTGTACTTCCCTTCCTTGATCATCTTGTCCCTCTGCTCGAGGATGGTTTTCAGCCGCGCAGCCTGGCAAAGCGCACACGAGAGGGTCAGGGCAGGCACACAACAGGGTCGCAGCAGTCAGGGAAGCACTTAGGTGGTCCCTAGCACAGCTCCCAGCAGCCCCCCAGAAGCCATGGCCACATGGAACCCACACCAACCCTGCCCTCAGGGCTCCTCACATGGGTTTGAGCCTCCTGCCAAAGACTTTGGGGCTTTCAGGCTGCTGCAGCACATTCTACTACTAATGATAATCGGGTTTTCAGCCCGCAGCTGACCAGGCAGTATTTTCTCTCATCACTGCTGCAGCTGAGGACAGAGTGTAGCTGCTGCTGGAGAGGAGAGCCACCCAGGCAGGAAAGAAGGGACTGCAGAAGAGAGAATTCTGCTGCCCCAACAACCCACACCACCCCTCGGGTGCCTGCCTGCTTCCAGCCAGGAGGTGATGCCCAATGGCTCCAGGCACCATCAAGGCAAGGCACCCGAGGAACACCCCTGGCAGCACTTCCCACCCCAATCCCCCTCCCGGGCTTCTCAAGACCTTGGCCTGAACCCTCAGCACTCTCTCCCCAGCTTGGCCCAGCGCCCCAGGTGTTCCCAGCTCTGGTGCCCCAGTGTCCTCCCCCCCAGCTCGGCCTGGCCCCTCCAGAATCCCCTGCTCCACCCCGGCGGCAGCGCTCACCAGCTTGGTGCGGTGCATGCACTCCATGAAGTCCTCGTACTCGGGCTGGCACTCGCGGCGGGCGCGAGTCTGGCCCAGGCCGTGCCCGCACTCCACCCACTCCCGCTCGAAGGCGTGACAGGCCCCGGC